CACACTGCTGCTGCCAAGAGACACAATTGAGGATTTTCTGTACATAACTCAAAGCCAAACTTACTGGTTATTGAAGGAGGAAAAATCAGTTCATAGTTCACTTGTCACAAGAAGCGGGAGACTGGTGTTGTGTGCACAATAGTTACTTTTCTAATTACTGTTCTCACAAAGTACACTTTCAAGGATCTTTAATGATGCTGAAAATGCGTAATCCTGTGTCGTATAGAAAAAGATCGCATGACAAGACAAGACTCCACTCATTCAGAGAAGCACATTGGAATGCTGAAAGAATGGCCTGTGACCCCAGGATGGTAACACAGAATGAAAAGCTTCAGAACTTGTTCACTCTCTGTGTGGCTGTTCCTTGTTAGAAAGAAGGAAGAACCGTAGAGCAAAAGGGCCTAGTTATGAATAGCACTTACCAAAACTGACTTGGCTTTTATCATATCTCCAAAGTACCATGAACCCTCAGTGACTCAGAGTGCTAAGCATTTACGACAATGTTTAGATGTACAATTCTAACTCAGGGACCTCAGTGCCAACGGAGAAAGGTAGGTATAAAGAGACAGTCATCAGTGTATCAGGCATCTTAGAAATTTCCACTTTAATAGGCTCCTGAGTGGAAAAAAAAGTGTAGTCAGTTACAATATTGACAATATGAAAATATTAAAATCTCAGAACAGCAAAAACTCTCCAGGTGACAGAGTATGCAGATATGTAATCATGGTGTAAGTATAAAAAGCCATGAAAGTGATCATTTAATTTTGATGAAATGTTTTAGTACATGCCTCAAAAGTATGACAGGTAGGTGTGTCCCATGTCCCAGCAGAATGAGCACATTAAATGCAACAACTATCAGGAAATTAGTTCCATCAATTATTTGCATATTAAAGACAGTCATATTTTATATATAACTATTACTATTGCTAAAATGTTTATAAGGACAATAATTATTTACCTTAGAAAATAACTTTGTAACTAGTTTTAATTTTTCTGGAAATTGGCTGCTGATCACTACACATATAGAGAATATTTTTAAGTAAAATTATTTCCGTGCAATATGAAAATAAATTTCATGTGTATCGTCACACAGTTTCAGCTGTGACCCATTCAGCACAGGGAAGAATGTGATGAATTCAAGATTAATGAAGTCACCTAGTGCACTATATCCACAGTGATTTTAACAAAAAGCTTTCCTTGATGAAAAGTTTATTTTAAAATGGTTTTATCAGGCAGAAACTTAAGTTTTGTCAGTAAATTTACATAAGATAAATATAAATTCAATGTACCATTTAACAGCTTTCAGACTGCTAAGCAATAAAGATCACCAGATTGTAATAAAAAGAACACACCCTGCACTTGGGAGGCTGAAGCAGGAGGATTGCTGTGAGTTTCAGGCCAGGTTGAGCTACACGGTGAGTTCAGAAACAAGGCTAAACTACATAGTGAGACCCTGTCACAAAAAGTACTCAAACATATACATTTAAACTTATTACATTTATATATACAGAAATCTCTTCATATCCAGCCTAGGAAGA